CATGGAGGCTGATTTATCCTACCAAGAAGTGGAAAATGTGCTAAGGAGCTAGGCACGAACATTTCCCCTGGTATCGATGGTATATCTTACTCTTTCTTAAAGCATTATTGGAAGGTCATTAGTCAGGATGTATGGCTGGCTATTCTGCATTTTTTTAGACATGGTAAAATGAATTTTAAATGGAAAGAGACGGTGGTTCTGATTCCTAAGGTTAAAAATCCTATCATTCCTTATCATTATCGTCCGATCAGTTTGTGTTTGTCTATTTATAATATGGTTGCTAAAATCCTATTAAATAGACTAATGAAAGTTATTCATAAAATTGTTTCGGAGGAGCAAGTGGCATTCATAAAAGGAAGAACTTTATCAGACAATATTTTGCTTGTTCATGAATTGTTCAACAAATTTAGATTTTCTAAATCTAAAAAAGGGTTGGTAATTAAAATTGATATGGAACAAGCCTATGATAGTATGGCTTGGTCAACCCTTAAGCAAGTTTTGAATTATTTTGGTTTTTCTCTAAGATTTTTTAATCCTAATTGGAATGTGTTATGGATCCCAAATTTTCAATTATCTCTAATGGTAAAAAGTCGGATTGGATTGAGGCTAAAAGCGGATTTCGACAAGGGTGCCCGCTATCTCCGTATTTATTTATTCTCTGCTCTCAATTATTATCCAATGAGTTTCATAGCAAAGGGAATGATGTGGGTATAAAAGCAACTCCAAATGCTCCAGGAATAAATCATTTGATGTATGCTGATGATGTCATAATGTTCTCTGAAGCTAATCTCAACCATGTGAGGAAAATCAGGAAAATCATTTCTAACTACTGCTTATGGACGGGTCAAGTAGTAAACAATGATAAATCCAGTATTATGTTCGATAAGATGGTGGGATGGAGATCTAAAAGACAAATTCTGAATCTTCTAAAATTCAAGGAGTTAAAGGAGATGAATTATCTTAGGATTAAAAAGGCATTGAGAAGGTTGATGTCTTCGAATTTCTTGAATATCCTGGAGAAAATTTTCTGTAAGCTTAGTGTTTAGGGTAACAAGCTTATTTCGTTACCAGGAAAATTTGTGCTTGTTAAATCTGTATTACAATCCATTCTAGTATTTTTGCTTCTCATTCCTAGCTTGGTGCCTTTGAGCATTTTAAGGAGTATTGATAAACTTTGTAGAGATTTTATATGGAATAAGCATGGAGGTGATCATGGTATGCATTATATGTCTTAGTTCGAGCTTTGCAAACCTGTTTCTAACGGTGGAAGAGGGCTGCATCCAGTTGAATTCATTTCAGGACCACTTAAAGGTAATTTTGCATGGAGTTTTTTTAATAATTATGGTTTTTTGTTAAACATATCAATTAAAGCAAAATATGGCGATATCTAGAACGCTGATTATAGAAGAAACAACTCGGTTACATGGAAAATTCTCATGAACGGAATGGAATTCCTTAAACTAATGGTTAGGTGGAGGATCGCCTCAAGCTCTTCAGTTGACATTATGAAAGATGCATGGATCTTAGATAAAGGTCTAGACAGATGGCCGACCTTTATTGTTGTTGAAGAGGATGAATTTCCGAAGCTGCGGGATTTCATTACAGAGGAGAGATGGAATGTAATGAAGTTACATAGATGGTTTGGACAGAGTTTGGTTGACAACATAACTCAAATTCAAATCATTCCTAACATTTCTCATGATCAATTAGAGCTTATGCTCAAACTATCTGGTAGAACTCTCTCGGCTATGGTGGCTGTGAATAACAGGAATTACGAAGAGAAGGAGTACAGTAGATGGTTAAAAAAGCTATAGTTATCACCCCAGGTGGAATGTTTCTGGTGGCGTGTGTTTAACAATGCCATACCTACCAATGATTTTTTATTTTATAGAAGAATAGTGAATAACAAATCTTTTCCTAAGGGTTGTTTGGTAGTAGAAAATATAAATCATGTGGTAGCAAATTGTTCTTTGATTCATATGGTTACAGCTAAATTGAATGAATGGGGATTCAATGTTCCAACGGTTTCTTCATTTACTGATTGTATAGCAGAGCTCGAATCTTTATCGGGAGGCAATAAGTTTATTGGGAATTTATATTGTTCAATGGTGTTTGTTTCTTGGAAAAGTAGGAATCGATTAAAGCATGGAGATGAAGAATTCGAATTGGGATTCATTGTATAAAATGCTATCAGAATAGCCTCTAATGCTTTAAAGTTTAATCTAATTTCGAAAATCTAGGGTGCTAACCAGCTTCGGCTGAATTGCTCTTCTTGGCACCCTCCACTTCCCAATTGGACTAAAGTGAATCTTGACGCAGCTCTTTTACAATCCTATGAAGCATGTATTGGTGGTGTATTTAGAGATCACAAGGGAATGTTTCTTTCAACTTTTGGATTGAAATGCACTCATTGGGGTATAGGAGCTTTGGAACTTGCTGCTTTTCGATACTTGAAGGTGGTTATTAAAGAATGGATGATGGAAACTAAAGGATTAATAATAGAGGGAGATAATTTAAATGTCATCAAATATCTTCAAACTTCGGTTGAAAGAGCATATTGGAATAATAGCAAAGGTGAATTTGAAGACCTATCATTCCTTAAAGATTTTGGTTCATTTATATTTCATTTTACTTATAGCAATTGTAATAAGTTAGCATATTGCTGTGCTAACTTAGCATTAGAAGGTGATTTTTATTGGGATGATCTTTCTTGTAATAAGATTCCTCCTACATTCATTTCCTTATTGAAGGAGGAGGGTAATAGCGATTCTATCACCTAGTAGTTTGTATCTAGGTATTTTCTTCATTTCTTTTAATGCTATCGGCATTTTATTCAAAAAAAAATTCTAATCTCTATTGTTACACCATATCAAAGACATATTTAAAATTCTTTTTAAGGAATTATATTGTTAAGAGATTGTTAATTCTCACTATTATGCATACGAGAGAATATCTAGCCCACAAGAATTTTGATTACAAAATCCATACCCTCCCTCCCTATCCTACGTTAGATTAGAAATTCATATAAGTTCTAAATTTCAAATTAATCTCTCGAAGTTTTCCTCCTTGGGCTTCCTCTATTTCCTTACTTTTCATTTCATTCTATTTCCTTTTGAGTTGACCATATAATCCATTTAAACTACACTCGGCAAATTATTTACAACCTTTCAAAGAGTCCTAAAAATTCTATCAAATCTACCATAATTACTCCATCACTTACTATTTAGTAAGTAAACCGGCATCAATTTAAACCCTCCCTAAAATCTTCATTGCTCAAATAATTATAACAAGAAAAGCTTTGTGAAGATTACTCAACACCCTCCCAAATTTGGTTCAAAAGCAAACCCATTGGAAGAAGGCATCAAAATCCCTTTTGTCAATTCTGAATCCTAGATGAAACAATTCTGCAACATTATTGGCCTAATGATGTCATATCAAGGATATTAATTGCTTCAGTTGATGGTTAAGAAATGAAAAAAAAAACAATCATTTCACCAGTAAAGATGAAAGTAATCAAAGATCCTCAAAATTCATATCACTGTTTAAAATTGCGCAATAAGAGGCGCGCCTCTGCGCAATTCTTGCAAAAAACGCCTCAAGGCGTGCGCAATTGCGGGCTGTGGTGAGGCGTACGCCTCACGTAGGCTGAGGCGCGCCTCTGTTGCGCAATTGCGCAATTTTGAGAGAGGCGTACGCCTCAGCCAAAGGGCCCACCTACTTAAAATTTTTCCTCCCTTTCCCCCACACCCGATCGGCTCAGGATTCAACCCGATATTTTCCGCGCGTTTGCTCCAGGTCACGAAATCCAGAGCCCCCCGTCCGCTCGGCCAACCTTCCCGCCGCCTCTCCCGCCGGCGCCGCCTCTCTCCGGCGAAGTTGAAGTGTCCGGCCGCCTTGTAGGAGAAGTCCACAAAGGATTTTAGGTATTTTTTTTTACTTTTTGGTTATTCTTGAAAACAGTTGAATGGTGGATCCAATTTGGTGATTCCACCCCTGAGCTACAGAGTTTTGCTGTGAGAGTGTTGGGCCTCACTTGTTCTTCTTCTGGGTGTGAGCGAAATTGGAGTACATATAGTCAAGTGCAAACAAAGAGAAGAAATCGACTATCTACACTCAGAATGAACTCCCTCGTACACATAATGCACAACAAGAGGTTAAGAGATAGGAGGTTGAGGAATAAGGGGTTGAAAGATGATGAGGACTCGTTGGTGTGTGATGATCTGTCGTCTGATAATGAGTGGTTCATAGATGATGAGGCAGATTTGTCATTATCAGACTTACAGGTAGAAGATATAAATGTGGATGTATTGAGGGACGAAGCAGATCAAACGGGTACATCCACTAGTACCACACCACACACATCTACTAGCTCTGCAAGTAAAGGTATATGTTCTCTGCCAGTCTGCCTGATAATGAGTGGTTCATCCAATTATTATGCTAATAATCTTTTCTTTTAATGAACAGGGAAGAGAAAAGATAGTCATGTTGAAGATGAAGATGACATGGCATTCATAGATACAATTGGAGAAGAAGATTCACTTGAAGACCCATTTAGTGATGGGATATGATTTCATTTTATATGTTTTTTGTATTTTGGGAGTTTTGTTAAACTGATATTTTGTGATTTTGTACTTTGGGACATAATTTTATTGCATCTACTTTCTTATTTTCCAATATTGCTATTATTTTCCTGCTAAAATCCTTAATTTTTCATTTACGCAATTCTGTGTTCGTGAGGCTTACGCCTCAGACCGCCTCGAGGCTTACGCCTCGCCTCACGGACGAAAACCGCCTCGAGGCGCAGTTACGCAATTTTAAACCTTGATTCAGATGATTAGGTCAGGAGCCTAAACTTAAAAAAAACAATGGGACCGTACGGGTTTCCACGAATAAGGCATGTTTCTATTTGATTTGGTGAAAACAAGATGTAAAGTCTTTACATATAAGGTAATCGTCATTATTTGTTTAAAATATAGATGACGTAAAATTACCACACTCACCTCAGCTTGTTTTGTAGCCTCCTGCACTTCAGCCAACTGCTGCTGGACCAGCACAGTCTTCTTCCTCTTTTCAGCAATCTCCTCTTGCATCTTTTCCTTTTGCTTTTCCCACGCCACTAGCTTCTTCAGGCACTTCTTCTCCCTCTTCGTAACCTCCATACATGCAGTAACTGACTCAGAGGCACTTAGCTTTGATGCCTCCATTTCAGCCCTTATCTCAGCATTCTCAGTCTCAAGCTTCTTGACGGCTGCATTAGCTCGATCCACCTGCCCGCTAGTTTTCTTTAGAGCATTCTCCATCTCTGCAAGCCTCTTCATGGTCGAGTCCTCCAGCACCTGCTTCCCCTTCACAGCCCTCTGGTTCTCCTCCCGCTCCAGCCTCAAAACCCTGAGTTCGTGGAGGTCGCTGCTCAGTTTCCGAGCAGCTTGAATTGCTTTCTGCTGAGCCCATTCCTTCCTCTCTTTGACCTGGCCTTCCAGCTCACGAATCTGATGAACAAGGTCCATGATCATCTCCTTCTTCTGATCCTGAACCTCCTTATCTTGATGCTTCTCATCCTCAATTCTCATAGCCTCCAGTCTTTTTAGCACCAACTGCTCTAGGTCCTCTTCCTCTTCCTCCACCTCCTGTTGCGTTTGCCTGCCCTGTATCTTTAGCTCAGGGCAATACTCAGTAATGTGCTGTTTCAGAATAGATTTCAGTAATGGCGGTGAATCAAAACGTTTCAAGCCTTCAGATGGATGAGCGATAGTACAGTTGACAGAAGCTGGTTCAGTGCCAGCAGAATCTCCACTCACGGCGAACGGGAAAGCGGCACCAGAGGGGAATGCGGTGCCAGCAGCACTGGCTGCTTGGGAATTACCGGGAACCGAGAGGGAAGGGAGCTCAATGGAGCTTGCCCGGCTAACCTGGAGGCCACTCATGAGGAGGCACCACATGGCCTCACCCCGGGAGAGATCTGGGCGGATCTGCTGCAGAAGGCAAACCAGGCCAGCAAGGGAATACTCCTCGAGGTGGCGGAGGTCAGAGAAGGCGCCGGCAGGAGGTTCCCCGTCGTCAGCAGTGTGGGCAGCTTCTGTGTTGAGGTACGCAAGTGCGTTCTGCATGATATTGGAGAGTGCGTCCAAGGCGCCGTAGCAATGGCCGTTGCAAAGAACGGCTCGAAGCGCTAGGGCATCATCGTAGCCGACGGAGACCAAACGAGAGATAGCTTCCTTGTAGACGCAATCGAGGTTATTGATAACGATCTCCTCGAGCTGCTCCTCGGTGCAGTAGCCCCACCCAGATTCATCAAATCCGTTATTATAAAGGTTAGTGCTAGAGTTAGAGCAGGGGCCCAGATTGAGTTTGAGGCTAGGGTAGCTACAAGAAGCAACGAGGGCTGGATCAGAGGAGGGGATCGGAGGAGGAAAACCCCCGGGGAGAAGTTTAGGGGCGGTGGAGTCTGAAGGGAGCATTGAGACCGTCGCCGGACGGGGGACGTGGCGCTTCCGCCCGACGGCGCCAGCACGGGAGGGCTTCTCACGAGCATTGGCGCCCATCGGACTTGATCGGCTGATCAGCAACGGAGCAGAGCTAAGGAGGTTTTGCGGTAGTGTTCGGAGAGTTGGATTTCACTCCGGAATACGACTGGGCGACGCTGCGGAGGTCCGCTTCGATCTAATAAACATACAAAAAAAAAAAACATGCCATTTTTAACTGAATAACACCTAAAATTATAAAAAATATATATTAAACATTTAAACTATTATATTTAGTTATATACCACTTAAAACTCCAATTTTATTCTATTTTTTTCACGCCGTATAAGCCCTCTTGTTAAAAGCCCTATCCGCGCCCGTCTTCTTCCATTTGGTCGCGAGAGTGCCCTCCCGTCCAAACCCTCGCCTTCTCAATCGTGTTTGAAGGTTTTGTACGCGTCGCATCTTCATTTCGCCTCGCATCTTCTCATCTTCTCCGTCGTGTTCGAAGATCGGCAAGATTTGCTTTTCGTGTTTTCCATTTCGTGAATGATGATTTTGATTATTTTTTTTTTGTTGTTTGCCTTAGTTGTATTTTGTTCTTCTTCTCCAATACAATGCGTTTTCGACTGTCAATACTAATGCGTTAGTAAAGTTCGCTTCTTTGTTAGCTTCAAAGTGTGTATTGTCGGTTTCATTGCTCTATGTGTTCGATCCTTCACGAAGTTGGAAGCCCCTCAGAAATTTGGATACATACTGGTTTGTTCACTATAGATGAGGGAATGAAAGGAGAACTTATGAAAGTTGAATATAGCATCAGGAATAATGTTAACCCTTCATTTTAAATGTTTAAGTGAAACTGTAATTTGATACTGAAACTTTTCATTTTAATTTTGAAGGTGTATTTTTATTGCTTCTCAAGCCGTGAAAGTTTTCGACAATGAGTTCGAGCTCCTCGACGACGCAAATCAAAAACCCAAGTAATCGAATATATTGTCATTGCAAATTGTAATCTACAATACATACGTCATACAAATCGCGTCGTTATGAAAGAAAATTCAACAGATGGTCCGGAACAGATCGAAAGACAACTGTAGTTTTTTTCAGTGGTGTGATGAAGTAAATGATTTGTCTAATTATATGAATTTGCATAGTAGTGTACAAGTTGTCGAAATCAACCCAACTCAAGTTGTTTCAGTTAGAGTCGAGCTTTTACTAATAAAAATCTTGTTCGTGATCGTGATTATCCTAATTTTAATTGTAGCAGTCGGTGTGAAATCTCTATTCACAAGCTGTAATTATAATTGTTGATTCACTTTTTCATTTGAATGTAATAGAATGTGCATTATCGTTTGTGATATTAGTTTTTTTTTTTTTTTTGTGAATGAACATTATGTTTGTTGTGGATATTGAATGAGCAATTTTGAACGAGTAGCAGAGAATATATTGGCAATTAGAATGCTACAGAAGTATACTATGAAACGAAATTGAATGAGCAATTAGAATGCTTCAGAATTCTGCGGGATGCAAGCCGCGAAATACAATCAAATGATCTACATCAACTCAAAGTCAATATCACAATTCAAAGTCAATAAACAAAACTGCTACCATAATAAACATTTCGAAGTAAGAATCACAATATCACAAACGAATCTGCAACTCAAATTCTGTGGAATGCAAGTCGCGGAAAACAATTCAAAGTTAATAAACAAAACTGCTACCAATCAAAGTATCAAATGCAGTGTTCAGAAGACTAAGTAATTGTAATTTTAAAAATTCTACTACTGCTCATAAACCACGTAACAATAAAAAAAAAACTACAAAAAAAAAATTCAAAAATCTGGTTGCATTCCAGTTATCTGCAAAAAACTGCTTGCATTTCAGTTAACAGCTTGGGCGCCGTATATTTTGGCCGAGCAATCAATGTAGTAGGCACTTGTTTATCAGATACAATCTCATAAACAATCTCATCACCTCCTACATTTAATGAATTCTTACAGGTGCTTCTATGATGGCCTCATAAGTTGTAGCCACTACACATGTGTCCAAGTTTTGTTTTCTTTCCTATCTCTAAGAAATTCTTAATTCGTCTTTTTTTGGGTTTGCCACACGGTCGAAGAGAAGTTTGCATTGTAACTAACTCACCATCACTTACTACAGCCCACAGATCCTTCCTAGGTAGAGTTGAGATTGCACCATCATATGCCATTTTGTATCTAATCAATAAACATAACATTTTAAGACAACTAATGTAACAAATAGTCGACACATAAGTGGCAATTGAACAAGGCATGTAACTTACTTATATAGGTAGTAGTGATCATCAGCATACGTATACCATAAGATATGTTGTCTTGCTTCAATGAATGCAGCACTATGTATACATGTTAGACCACTTAATTGCCATAATACACAAGTATAATCCTTCTTTTCTATGTCCACCTCATGCCTTTCATGAAGTCCCTCATCTTGAGCTTTGCTTGAAGTAGATTGGCGAATTATAAAATGCTCTTTCCTTGTTGTGATATCTTTGATGTACTCTTCCGCTTGAGGGACTAGTTGACCTCTCCAAGAGCCACAGTTGACCTCTCCAAGAGCCATCCAAACCAAATTCTGAAGCTTGTTGCCATCGTCACAGCGAAATAGTTTTTTAATATTTTTCCACAAATGTCTCATGCATATTATATGCTTGGTATTTGGGAAAATAAGCTTTATAGCTTCACCAAGACCCTTCTCCATGTCGGATATGAAGGGTATATGTTCAATTTCACAACCAAAACTTTCCGACAAGTTTCTCAAGAATCATTCCCATGATTTCTTGGACTCTGATTCAGCAACAATAAAGGCTACTGTGTAGAGACCATTTTATAGATAAAAGTACGCCAATATACTTTGATTTAAGGGGCAAGTATTAACCCCAATTAAGTATCTACATCCAACAATAAAATCGTCAATACACACTTTGAAGCTAACGAAGAATCGCTTGAATGCATTAATTTTGCTGCCGCACATGTATGTAATGTGACAGCTAGGATTTTTGTTGATTAACTCAGACCTCAGCATAGGCACCCACATATAGTTATCATCGATAGATCCAAACATTAAATATCTTACTAACTCCCTTGAACGCCAAAGTTTCATATATGGCAATGATTGTCTGTAAGTTGTCTCCAAATTATTGTTAATATCCTTTGGCGTGATTTCAGGATTTTTCTTTATAATGTCTTTGATTTCATTAGCTACCCAACTAGTAGTAGCTTGCTTGTTTCTGGCTTTATTGAGCCCAGGACATAAATGAGTTGAATCTATTTTTCTAACTTCAAAAGAGTGCCCATCAGGACTCAATGAGGAATGAATTCTCCATGGACAAACTCTATGTGCTCAAGTAACAATTACTATGGATTTGTCACTAGCCTTTATCTTTATAGCATAATTCTGTAAAATTGCATTAGAACTAAATGTTTGCTTGAAACTTTGGGAATCCTCAAATCAATACATATAATTTTTGCCTCATCAATTTGAGGTATGAAGAACTCATCACGCAGATCATCTACTATAATATCATTATTTTCTTTGATCTTTAAGCTAAAGTGATGCATTTTAGTAATTGGTTGTCATTTTTAGTTTGAATATTATGTGATTTGGACATATATTCCTCATTGTATTTCACTGCAACTGCCACCTCAAATCTATTCGTTTCATAAGAACTGCCAAGCATGTCAACTACATCTAAATCTTTTGAAACCTACATGTAATTCTTAGTTGATGTTCCATTCACATGATAGTGTAAGTTGAATGGCTAACTCCTTAGCCAATGACAAAGTGCTTCAACTCGTTCTTTTAGTAACAACAAACTGATTTCATCTCTCTGAAGCTTTAAGGTTTTCTGGCTCCCACCCACATACTTCATTCGAGCCTGTCCCTGCACCTCGACCCAATATCTACCAAATTTGAGGAAAATGAAGCAAAAAGGACTTGAATCTATTTCTATGTGTGGATATAATTAATGAGTTAGAAGAACTAAAAAAAAGTTAATCAAAATGAATTATCCAAAGTGAAAAAAAAAATTATGGTTTCCTGTCAATTCAAAAAACTATACTACTAACTTGTCCAAACTCTTGAAAGCAACAATTTCTATATTTTCACCAGAACCATAGAGATAGTCAGCAAAGCAAGCACTAAATAAAACTCTACATATTGAAGATGTTCAAAATGCCATCTTTTAGTAGGAAAATGATGTCATCATCGAATAAAATGCATTGAGTACTAATATATAAGCTAGCAAAAAATTGCAATGAATGAACCAAACCAATGAACAACAACTCAAGATAATTCATATAGCATGATAATCAAATCAAATTTGAGTAAGAACAATGATTAAATCTAGGGCACGGGATTGGTTGGGCAGAAGAAATAGTATATATAAGGAGAAGGTTTCACGCAGGAAGAAGGTAAACATGCTCGAGCGAATAAGAGGCCATAGTTGTTGGAACATGAAAGGCTGGGCAGAAGAAATAGTATCGCGAGACGGAGAAGCTTTCACTCAGAAAGAAGGCAATACTACCTGCTTGAGCGAATAAGAGGACACGGTCCTCGGAGAAGCTTTCGTGCGGTAATATGAACTGGCTTGCAAAGAGGTTGGGGAAGGGGTTTTGACGGGAATGTTACGAAGTGTTATTTCAAAAGTTAGAAATGAGCTTTAACTGGTATATAAGTACATATGATAGTTTAGATGTTGAATATGTATTTTTCATAATTTTAGGTGTTATGTATATAAAAATTCAAAAAAAAATTATAAATTATATATTGATTTCCACATAATTAAATCATTTATAATTTAATAAAAATAAATTATATAATTTTAATTTTAATGCTCTATTTGAGATTTTTTTAATGGGAGCATCTACCCGCTGACAACACCTTAGGAGGCGCATAACGGCGTAGCTAATCCCTCGACGGATCCTAATGGAGCCAACCCACTGGTGTCGGGCCTATGCTTTGCTACTTCCCTCAATGATGAAGAGCCGCTTGAGAAGGGATTCAAACATGGGTTGGAGGTTCCCAATGTTCGCCCACCAACCAAGTTAAGCCCAATCGATACTAATTGAGATTTAGATAAAATTCTTATAAATATAAATAATTGGATTATAATTTATAAATAGATAAAATAAAAGTTTTAGGTAGAAAATTATCTAATAAATAATGTATCTATCG